TCACACGTAACAGGTGCTACAAGACAAAAAAAAAAATGGCCCAAACGAAGAACAGATCAAAGCTCCAGAAAAAATACAACTAAGCGACCAAGAAATAGCCAACCTATCAGATGCACAGTTCAAAGCACTGGTGATCAGGATGCTCACAGAATTGGTTGAATTTGGCTACAAATTAGGTGAAAAAATGAAGGCTATGCTAAGTGAAATAAAGGAAAATGTACAGGGAACCAATAGTGATGGGAAGTAAACTGGAACTCAAATCAATGCAGTGGACAGAAGGAAGAAAGAAACATCCAATCAGAAAAGAATGAAGAAGAATTAAAAAAAATGAGAGGTTTAGGAACCTCCTACATTTAAACGTTCCAACATCCAAATTATAGGGGTACCAGAAGGAGAAGAGGAAGAGCAACAAGTGGAAAACTTATTTGAACAAATAATAAAAGAGAACTTCCCCATTCTGGCAAAGGAAATAGACTTCCAGGAAGTCCAGGAAGCTCAGAGAGTCCCAAAGAAGTTGGATCCGAGGAGGGACACACCAAGGCACATCATAATTACATTAGCCAAGATTAAAATTAAGCAGAGAATCCTAGATCAGCAAGAGAAAAGGAGTCAGTTACCTACAAAGGAGTGCCCATAAGACTGTCAGCTGATTTCTCAAAAGAGACCTTGCAGGCAAGAAGAGGCTGGAAAGAAGTATTCCAAGTCATGAAAGACAAGAACCCATATCCAAGATTGCTCTATGAAGCAAAGCTTTCATTTAGAATGAAAGGGCAGAGAAAGTGCTGCTCAGATAAGGTCAAGTTAAAGGAGTTCATCATCACCAAGTCCTTATTATATGAAATGTTAAAGGGACTTCTCTAACAAAAAGAAGATAAACATGTATAGTAAAATGACAGCAAACTCACAATTATTAACAACCATACCTAAAACAAAAACAAACTAAGCAAACAACTAGAACAGGAACAGAACCACAGAAATGGAGATCACATGGATGGTTAGCAACGGGGAGTGGGAGGAGGAAAGAGGGGGAAAAGGTATAGAGAATAAATAGCATAGATGGTAGGTAGAAAATAGCGGCGGGGGCAAGAATAGTATGGGAAATGTAGAAGCTAAAGAAATTATAAGTATGACACATGGACATGAACTAAGGTGGGGAGTGTGGGTCAGAGGGGGTGTGAAGGGTGGAGGGGAGTAAAGGGGGGGAAATGCAACAACTGTAATAGTATAATCAATAAAATATATTTAAAAAACACCACAAAATATATGTATGGAATACAAACACTATAGAAAGTACAGTAATATATGCTTTAAAAGCTCACCCAAATCTTACCACCTAAAAATTATCATTAATATTAGAAAAATAGTATATTTTCCTTTGCATTTATACGGAGAGGAGGGTGGACAGATAGGTGAGAATGATATCTCAACATGGTTTTCATGTGTATTTCTCCTTAGGACAGAGGTACAGAGTTTTCTCTTATGTTTAAAAGTCATCTGTGTATTGTTTATTATCTCTTGGGGTTGTTGACCTTTTCCTTGTTTGTAGGAGATCTTTTTATCTTAAGGTAAATTAGCTCTTTGTTACAAGTTGCAAATGATTCCTTCATTAATGGACTGGATTTCATTTTTAGATAGTTTCTTTCAAAAAGGATTTATGGGTACATTATTGATTGAATTTTGATAATATTGAATACCTGATATCAGGTATTGTGTTTCCTCCAACTTTGTTCTTCTTTCTCAAGATTGCTGAGGCTGTTTAGGGTCTTTTTTGTTCCATATATTTTTTGGAATATTTGTTCTAGATCTGTGAAATATGTCATTGATATTTTAATAGAAACTGCATTGAATCTATAGATTGCTTTGGGTAGTATGGACATTTTAATGATGTTAATTCTTCCAATTCATAAACATGGTATATGTTTCCACTTATTTGTATCTTCCTCAATTTCTTTGTTCAGTGTCCTTTAGTTTTCTGGGTACAGGTCTTTTACCTCTTTGGTTGAATTTATTCCTAGGTATCTTTTTTGCATGTTGTTGTTGCAATAATAAATGGGATTGTTTCCTTAGTTTCTCTTTCTGATAGTTAATTATTGGTGTATAAAAATGTGAATTTAATATTTAAGAATGTGTGTTTATTGCCCTTATCAAGTACATGAACAATTCTTTTAAAAAACTAATTGTTGTGGTAACCTACACTAACATGAGAGTTACCATCTTAACCATTTTGGGTGTGTAATTCAGCAGCGTTAAGCGCATTCACATGGCTGTGCAGTCGGCACCACTGTCCGTCTCTAGAACTTCCCCATCATCTCCAACCGAAACGCTGTCCCCTCTCAGCACTGACTCCCGTCACTTCTTCCCTCGGCCCCCGGAAACCACTATCCTGCTTTCCATTTCTATTGATTTGACTATTCTAGGTACCTCATATGAACGGAATCACACAATATTTTCCCTTTTGCGTCTGGTTTGTTTCAGTCAGCATGTTTTTAAGGGTCATCCATGCTGTGGCATGTATCAGAATTTCCTTCCTTTTTATGTACCAGTTTGTTCACCACTCATCCTGATAGACACGCGGGTTGTTCCCACCATCGTCTGCGGCAAATAGTGCTGTGAACACAGGTGCTCAAGTAAGTTTGAGTCCCTGCTTTCACTTTGCTGGGCACATACCTGGACGGGAATTGCTGGTTCTCATGGTAATTGTTTGATTTTTTTGAGAAAATGCCATACCGTTTTCCATGGCAGTTGTACCATTTTAGCTTCCCACTAGCAGTGCACAAGGGATCCAATTTCTCCACATCCTCACTAATACATGTTATTTGTTTTACATATATGTGTGTATATATGTATATAATAATAGCCACCATAATGGGTGTGAAGTGGTATCTTATTGTGGTTTTGACTTGGCATTTTCCTAGTGATTAGAGTATCTTTTTATGTGCTTGTGTATCTTCTTTGGAGAATGTCTGCTCAAGTGGCTCATTTCTGTACATTTTGAGTTGGAGGAGTTCTTTCTATGTGTTCAGTAGGAACACTTATTACACACTCACTCATCCTGACAGCACCGCATGCGTGTGGCAGCCTGTGTATGCATGTACAGGTGCAGCCCACACCCCTGTGTGCCCGTGGAGAGTTTCTCATGTGAGACAGTGCTGGGCAGGTGCCTGGCTGCTTTCCTCTGGCTGTCCCAGCGGAGATGTGGTGTCCCCATGTCCCCGATAGCTTCTTGCACAACTGTCCTTAAGACCAGGCCCCTTCTTCCCAAGGCAAGACCTTCTGGGACGGGTCTGCCCGGGATTCTGAGAAGACATGATTTCTGCTGTGAAACCTCTGATTCGGTCATCCTGGGCCTCGTCTAGCGATCTCATTCGATTTTCGTGGAGATCAAGTGAGAACACAGATGCGCTTCCCCAAGGGCTTTCCAGTAGCTCTCCCAGGTACTGCCACACTGTTGCTCGTGTTGCGGGTATTGCACTGAGCCTCTGTATCAGCACAGAGCCCTTCAGGAAGGTGGACTCTGTGAAACACCCAGGGAAAGGTTTGCTGTGCTACTTACTACTCGACAGAACCGGGCCCTCTGCCCAGCTCGGTCGTAGCACTCAGACTAGGTAGCAAGTAGGATAATTCTCTTTCTGCTCTTCAGGAATTTATGAGAATGTTCTGGGAACTCTGGTGGAGACGGGAACTAGTTCCTAAGCACAGGAAAAGACGAGGAGGCAATCCCTTCTTTTCACTTTGATCTGTGGTAGAATATTCTTTTATTGTTTTTGATCCTCTACCTCCTTTGCTTTATCCTTGGTATTCCTGTGGGTACCTGGCTTCTAATTCTTACAGGGACTCACTGAGCCCCCCATCACTCACCACCATTCCTGCGACCACTGGTGGTGCTTGCCTCTCTTTCTGAGAGGAGAGCCATGGGCAGGATAGTGCTCAGTCATCCCCGAGTCATGGCTCGCAGGGCAACAAGCCACACAAGAGTCCAGGCGGCCAGAAGGAGGTCTCGAATTTCCAGATACTTGGCTCCTGGCCAGGGCTACCATTCCCTTGATCAGAGCTCTAAGCATTCAGGTAATGCTGCCTTTGGCTCCCAGAAGGCCGCAACCAACCGGAATCAGTGCCACTGAGAACCAGAAACCATTCCTGCAACAGGAGAAAGGGCGGAGGGGCTGTGATTCACATTCTGGAGCCACTGTGGAATCGGGGGCCCAGCACAGGCTGGGTCTGCCTGTCATTACGCATCATGCTGTCTGAGTTCTCTGTCCGACAGTGGGGCTTTATACACAGATCTGTCCACATGTTCTAGCTCAAATTGCTCTGTGACACATTACATGTGTGTGCGTGCCCCACGCCCAACCCCAGTCCTCTCAGCCCCACCACTTGCTCCAGCCATCGTTGCAGACCAGTTCACAGCAGCTTTGACCATTGTACGCAGCCTGACAGTGCCTCACCCCAGCCTGCCACGTCTCGGAACCTGTTTGGGACTTAGGCATGTGCAGCCTGGGAATGCAGGGAGCTGGCCTGTGGGGCTGCCTTTGATGAATGGGGGATGCATGCTGGTATAGAAATGCTCCCCCTTTTACCCACATCGGGTCATTTGGAGGTAGATTTCCTCAGGCTCCTCAGATGTTCTGGCTGGCTGGAGCCATGCCCTCGGCGCTGGCTGACCTGAAAAATGCATCCCTGTGCAGGGTCTTGCCCTTTCCCCGTTTCCTCCCCTGTCCTTTACTCCTGCTCCGGGAATCTTGCTCCCACGTTACTACCCAGAGCGCCATCTCGGCCCTGCTCTCAGGGGAGCCCCGACCGAGATGCGTGTGTGAGCAGGCTGGCTCAGTCCTCGGTCAGTCAACAGAGTGAAGGCTTCTAGCTCGCAGGGGTTAATCTCAGCCTCAGAGGCTAATCACAAACAACTGCTAGAATTAGCCCGAGGCGACACAGAGAAAAGTTAGGTGATTGTGTGGCTCATGTCACCAAATGGTGGAAATAAAAGTCGTGGGCAGTTGCTATTACTTAAAAAAATCATTTTCTTTATTAAAACATCTTCATTTCCCAAGGCACTTCATTAGCTTTCCCAAACATGTGGTTTGGAACCAGGTGAAGCATATGCTGCAGGAGTACCATGGTAACCATGGTAACGGTCAGACAAGGGAAGACAGTTACACTGAACACAAGTATCTCCCAATGTCACATGACTGAAGTGAACAACTCCGAAGTGCTGTGAACACGATTTACCTTTCCTCTTCGTAATTTTCCCCGTGATTAGGTACCATGAAAGGGAGCCACACGACGACGTCCGTTTTGGGACGCCGAGAAGTGCTCGTGGCTGAAAGTGCTAAGGCCTTGCCCGGGTGGCGGCTGCAGACCATTATTACCAGAGTGGTTCTGGGTTGACAGAAAAAGACAGACCAGGAGACTGGGGCACCAGTCTTCCCTGAGTCTGTTCTGAAGGGTCAATAACTTAAGGAGAAGAAAATGACAAATCGATAACAAGCAGACGACATACGAACAAACAAGACCTCATTATCATTTGGAGAGAAGAGACAAGTGTGCTTATCTCTCTCTCACCAATGTGCTTCCACTGTGAGAGCAGTTTCGATTCGCCTGGCAGAAAACTGAGAAGAGTAGGTTCTGTAGTGCGTTTGTCATGGGCCCGGACAAGCCCAGTGCTTTGATCAGATGTAAACAAGTCTACCCAGCAGCCACACCGAGTGGCCCAGGAGCTCACATGGCGACGCTGGCCTGCATTCTGTGCCTGCTTGGGCCCCTCTGAATTAACTCCCTGCAGGCTTGCCCAGCCCTGGGCTCCCCAGACCCGGACCCTCCGGCCCGGGCGCGGCAGCCCTCCCAGTTACCGAGAAAGGGTGAGAAATCCAACTCCCTGTGAGCTGACGTCTTTTCCTTTAAAGTGCACCTTTAGAGGGAAAGATTTGGGGGATGGGATTTAGACCTCCTGTCTTACTGGGGGGCCTTTTGAGGAAGTCTGAAGTTAAAATGTAAATTTAGCAGATGCCTCTCGTGTTCTTCCGAATCTCACTGGTTCGAGTTCACTTCTTGGGCAGTGCCCCCATTCCTTGCTGTGTTAGGACGTCTCTGAAGATGTCTGTTGACAGCCCCAGTGTCGCTGGAGGGAAGGTGGCCCTCCAGCACCACATGCCGCCTCTGAGTCCCGTGCCCGTCTGCCAGCAGGTCAGACACAGGGCCACCAGGATGAACAGCGAGGACCTTTGTCCCTGAAGGATCCCATGTCCACACAAACCACTGCTGATGGGATTTAGTATTTCTTCTTCGCTGGCTTACTCCCGGGAGGGTGTTAGAAGGCTGTGCTTTTAAGGACTGTGGGGCTTTCTTCACCATCTTTTAATATCCTCGTGTGGCTTGGAGTTTGCCTGTATTTTATTCTATAAAAACAAGCAAAACAAATGTTAGGAGCAAATCTGAAAGAGACATCCTCCAATCTCAAAACAAATAAACCAAACCTAGAACTGAGGCTATCTTGCTGAAGGGGGAAAAAAATCAGACAGCAGATCCTGAAGGTTTTTCCTGTCTCTGCACTGTCCCAGAGCTGCTGTTGCTGTGGGGACGGACATGGGGACATGGTGGTCTGGGTCCGACCAGAGGGGGCAGAGTTCCACCTCCTCCCCATTGCTAAACCTCCGATGGCTAAACTGGTCTGTGGCATTTCTGAGAGTTTGTGGGGAACTTTCTGCCAGGCCCAGGCCCACAGCATCAGCGTGGTGCAGGAGGCTCCTTACCCCTTGACCCTTAGCATCTGGTCAATGGTGTCTGGCAGAGGGGTGCTGAAGCTCTCTGGGAGGAACAAGGTGAGGATGGCTGTCAGGATGGTCAGACTTCCCATGAGAATGTAGGGTAGGAAGCGATCGTAGGCACCTAGGGCAAAGCAGACACAGCCTGAAGCCGGGGTGCAGTTAGACCTGGTTGCCCTCTGGCTGTTTGCGCCGCCAGGACTCTCTAAAGGGGGTCACCTGCCCTCTCAGCCTCCGCGTGTCTCACAGTCAGAGTTGCCACACTGGAATCTGGCACCCAGACAGGTCTCAGCACCTGGGTCGGCACCGACATGCCCAGAAGTCCAGCAGTGCCTTGAGGTGCAGGGGAGAGGCACAGAGCCACAATGATTTCCATTCCTATTTCCCAATGCTAGGTTTCCAAAGAACTCTAGATACCTGTCCAGGGACAGAAATAGCTCCTCCACCTCTCCAGGTGTGTTTCAACCCATTCAATTTGCCTACAGGCCAAGCAAGATGTTTCTGCTTGTCAGATCTATGGAGGATGCTCGCCAAGCATTCTGGGTACCCTTAAGCTGGGTGCACCCCTCCTCGGAGATGTGCCAGTGAGGGGTGTGTGGGGGCACAGCAGCTGCCAGGAGAAAAGGGCTTGGAGGAAGAGGAAATGGTGCCCTGCTACGGAAAATGGAACAAACCGCATCTTCACACGGCCCGAGCCATTGAGCCACATGCTCCGAGTCACAAGAAGTCTCAGGTCGTCACACGTCTTGAATGGACATCTTTCCCTCTTCCCATTCCCTTTCAACTCTGATTCCAAGAAGAGAATTCTCCAGTTACGTGCACTGCCTTCCTCAATCACTCTGAAGTTTCTTAGGATGGGGGGGCTCCTATTCTCTGATGGAAGGCCAAGCGGGGATAAACCAGGAACAAAGCTCTCTCCTCCTCTCACCAGTTTCTAGCTAGTGTGCAGGTTGTTTTCCACATGCAAGTGCATGCCACCCCTGCAGCCCCTGCACCTGGACGAGAACCTCCCCCAGACAGAGGCCCAGAATCAGATGGGTCCCACCTGCCGTGCAGGCCCCTTGTCCTTTCCAGCTCACAGGGAAGCTCATGGCGCCTCCACCCACCCCTCCCACGTGCTCTTGCCCAACAGGACTCACCGAGGTAGATGAAGTAGGGAGACAGGATGCTGCCCAGGCGGGACGCTGTGGAGCTGACCCCCACGCCCATGTTTCTGACCACGGTGGGGTACAGCTCGGCCGTGTACACGTACACCATGGAGAAGGCAGCAGTGATCCCAAACTTGCCCACCATCACCAGGACGGTGGACAGATAGTACAAGTCTGGAGAGGCAAAGGGAAGGGAAGAAAGTAGGCGAAGGCACCAACCCAGAGGGTACGCTGCCACTGGGAGTCACGATTTTGAGGGGGCAAGCAATTTCTATAACTTCCTATTGTGGGTTGAGGGGCTACAGCCAAGGTGCCCCTCCAAGTGGTTACTCCTGAGAGGAGCCTGGGATCTGCAGCTGTGTGGGGACATGCGCTTCCCCTCTGCCTGAGGACCACTGGAGTGAGCCCCTCAAGCCCCAGCAAGCTTGCGTCCCTGGCCAGAAGTCACGACACGCCGCTATCAGGAGACCACCAACTGCAGGCACTGTGTGGCTAACCGATGGCTTTGCACGAACGGGGAGCTTCATTCTCACTCACTTCGTGCTTTCGTCCTGCTTAGACCCGACAGTTCACAGAGCCGCAGACCCTGGAAATGCTCTGTCCTGCCTGCCGGCTGTGAGCGGCCTATGGGTCGCCCGGGGCTGGGCCATGAACTTGCACACACAGTCCTCCGCTCCCCCACCATGCCACAGCAGGGGCTGTTCCTGGGCTGTGCTGCCAGCCTCGGGATCCACAAATGATCCTCAGAGGCCACCAAATGCATGAGTACAGTGACAACTCTAGGTTCCAACTCTTCTATCAATTGTCAACAGGGCTGTCTCCCCCACCTGTGAGGTACCGAGGCAGTTTTAAGAGTCAAATCCTGTTAATGGCCTAGGCAACCCACTCTGTGCCCTTCATCTCTTTCCAGCTCTTTCTCTGTCTTCGAACACACGCCAGGCTCCCTGCCCCCTCAGGGTCGCTGCCTTTGCTCTCTCTTCAGCCCCCAGGGCTTCTTGCCTAGACTTTTCCACAGTGTTCTCCACCATTCACCTGCGTTTCCGCTCACCTGCCCTCCCCAGGACCACTGTCCATGACCGCCCTCCGTACGCCAGCTCTCCCAGTCCTCCTTGTTGTTATAAAAGTAATGTCTGCACTGCATGAAGCTTTATTTACTTGTTTGTTGCCCGTGTTCTCAACCAGCGTGGCGGCTGCAGGAGCGCCCCAGGCTCTGCAGGGGTCTTCACTCCTACACCACTTACTAGCCACGCCACTCACTGGCCGGGCGCAGGGCCCGCCTACTCATTTCCGAGCTCCTTGTGGCTCAGGTGAATAAGTAATGGAGATGGATCTCTTTGGTCCCCCTTACCCTGCAGAGAAAAACAGGAATGCCCACACTAACTTGGATCAATAGGAAAACTGACCACCAGCCCCGTCTGGTTGCTCCGTCCACTTCCCCCAGGCCCAGGCCAGAGGGCTGTTTGGTCTCAGGAGACACTTTCTCTTGATTTTTGGGCCAAGAAGGAAGATATGCAGGTGAGTGATGATGACATGGTTTTATGCCTTTTATTGACTGGGGAGACAGCCTGCTAGAGGCTGAGTGACTCGGCGAAGACCGCAGATGCACACGGTCCCTACCTGGGGGCACCAGCTGCACAAACAGGAGCACGATGCCGCCCAGGAAGAGGGCGGTGGCCATGGAGTAGCGCCGGGGCAGGTACCGCAGCAGTAGCCAGGCCAGCACATAGGCCGGGACTTCCACCATCGCCGACAGGAAGCAGTTCATGTAGACATCACCGTGCAGGTTAGGTGTGTCCAGGGAGAGCCCAAAATAGCCCACTGATATGGTCATCCTGAAACAGAGTGTGGAGGCTGGAGGAGCCACGTCTGCCTGGCTGCCTCCCACCCGGGATGACTTTCCAGATACAAATATTGCAGGAAATGCAAAACGATTCCTTCAGGAGGGCCACAGGTTGAAGTGAGTCTTACTTCTTAGAACAAAAGAGAACTCCCCCAGCCCAGGGTCAGCTCTGGGCCAGAGCACTTTCAGAGTGTCCCAAACAGCACAGAGACATGTACAAGTCACACAGAGTTACTTCGTTGGGAAAAAACAAAAAAAAAACAACAAAAATTCAACTCCAACCTGCCTATTGGCTCTAGAAACCCTAAGCTGAAGCTCTCAGGACACCTACTTTCTGGCTTTCTGCACATCCCCAAACCCAGCACCTGCAGAGCAGCTGGAGAATGAGTCAGGGAGCAGACAGCAGGTGGGGCGGGGTGGGGCCAGGCTGCAGGGACAGGATCAGACAAGGAAGTCGTGGGGTACAGCACCTGGAGAAAGAGCCAGGGCAGACCCTCCATGGCACCCAGCCAGGGAGAGGCTGGCTAGAGGCCTCCGACTCCAGCACCACCACACTCTCAGAGGGGAGGGGGAACGCTCCAGGGTCGCTCATGGGCATGCCCTACCCCAGGGTCCCTGGCTGGTCCGTGCCTAGTTGGCACTCTCTGCAGACTGGACCTCCGTGGGTTAGACTGGACTCCTCTGCAGGCTGAAACCACAGCTGTACGAGCAGGGGAAAGGGCATGTGCAGCAGTTCCTGAGAAATCGGAGCCGGGGCAGTGCCCGGGGCAACCGCAGAGCAGGAGACTGGCAAGTAGGGTATGGGCTGAAGGTTGCCCCATCTGCGGGCAGCTCCAGGGTGGGGCACTGCCCTGGGGAATCCTGGGTCATTCCTTGGAAATAGGTGACTCATGGTAGTCCAGATGGCTGTCTGGCTGCCCAGACTGGCTGACTAGTAACAAGGACTCTGAGGCAAAGTTCGCCTTCCTCACCGAGGAGCACCAGGTAGAGGCCTCTGATCCCAAGGGTTCGGCCACTGAGCAAACGCTCTCCCGATACTTGGCTCTGTTTCCTCTCTCTGCCAACTCAACTCCCTCTCTGACACACTTGGTGAAATGCCTCGCTCGTTAGAAGGAACCTGACGAGGACATCCAGGTTGTGGCCCTGCTTCCAGGACAGTCTCCAGACGTCCCGGAAGGAGGGATCCTGCGCTTCCACATACAATCCCAGAAAGTACTCATGGCCTCTGTAACTGAAAGAACATGGGGTCTTAGAGCCTTGTAGAAGGCCTCGCCTGCCGCCCTCAGCCACTGTTGGAGGCACAGGGGAATGGGACCCAGAGTGAGCAAGGGTTCGCCTCAGGACCTGGAAGGATCCCCAAGGTCCCATATTGCCCCCCAAAAGCCCCGCAGCAGATTTCACTCTCCTTTTCTGAAATTCTATCCAGAATTGTGTCACGCCCATTTCTTGGAGGGCAAGACACACCCTTTTCACTTGCTGAGGACATGGGCTTTCAGTGCTGGTCTCAGACATGCCTGACAAATTGAGGGCGTGCCAGCCCCACCAGGGGCTGTGTGTGGCAGCCTCGGGCGGGTCCCACTTACGCACCACAGGATTATGGACATGATGGTGACCATGCGGATGTTCCGGGTTCGGAGAAGATCCAGAATGCTGTGGGACGGCTGCTTCTGGGAACTGAGGTCTTGGAGCTGCAGGAGGGAGAAGGGGGGAGACTCAGAGATCCAGTGACAAGCCCGGAACCCTGGCAGCTCTGCTTTCTGTGCCTCTGGGCTGGGGAGATCTTGTTTCCTTCTTGAAAAGAAGAGTGAGTCCACTGGCTGAACCTCAGGCAGCGGAAGGCTTCCCCGGCCTTGTCAGTAACAAATTAGTGATCAAGGGTGAGGAGGAAAAACAGGTGACCAGTCCCCTCAGGGGACACAGCCAAGGTGAGGCCCAAGCTGACAGCTCTGTCAGGCAGCACCCGATGGTGGCCACTTTCCAGGGAGGCCTCGAGCGTCCCTTCCTGCGGCTGGATCCCTGCCCTCTGGGTCAGAGAGAGACGGGGCTGTGGAGTCCGCCGATCTGCTGTATTAAAAGAATTCATGTTTTCAGTCTTCATACCATGTAGTTACTGGTCTACTTCCAAAAGCAAAAACATTTCAGATAGAAAAACAGGAAAATTGACCTCAGCTTCACCCAGAGTAACTTCCTATGAAACTCGGCACAGCCAAGGACATTAATAAACCACACGTCTAAACACACTGATGTTTCTTTCTTAAGCAAACCCAGCTTTGGAGCTTGTTTTTCCCGAGTTAGCAGTTCAACAAAAGGTCAGCTTTAGACTTAATGGATCCCTTGAAATAGTCTCATTTCCATGAGGATGCCAGCGGACTCACGGGCTCACCCGGCGGTCCCTCCACTGAAAAGCCACCAAAGCTATCTCGCTTCACAGTCCTCTGTGCCATCTGCTCCCGCCCGGACCTTTGTGCACTGGAGCCCTTTCCAACCTGCACCTGGAGGCGGCAGGGCTGGTGGCGGCCAGTGGCTTCTCTGCTGCGTGTACCTGTGTATCCAGTCCCTCTTCTCCCAAGTCCCAGGGCTGCATCGTGGGTGTCTCTAGTATGTCTTTTGCACACATTCCAGCAGGATGGCTGGTGGCCATTCTCACAGCCAGTCCCCTGTCTTCCCGCCAGACCAGACACACACTCCAGGACTGTATCTGCCAGCAGTTACAGCGTCTGACCTCTTTGCACCGTCACGAGACTGAAGAGAACTGCCTGCTGCAGAGGACGGCAGCTGAGACAGTAGGGGAAGCAAGACCCAGGCCTGCAGGCACAGTCGGAGGTTGCTCATGGTGTGAGAACAGGGTTTGCAGGGAGGGGTAGGGTAGGCTCCGAGGTCATGCAACAACTAACCACAGGGTGGGGGTGGGGGGTGGAGACAGAGCACTTCTAACTCCAAATCTGTGTTTGCTTCATATTTTATCTGCATTATCTTTTTACGATGAGAACCCACCTACAGTAGGAGGAACAACAATTTCCCAAAATGCCAACTTTGTGGGGGGATATTGCTCATAAAGAGTGCTTATTATTAAAAGGAATGGTAAGACTATACAATTGCTTGGAAAAGAAGTGCAGAAGTATGAAAACCTAAGACCCACGGGAAAGGTGAAGAGATTTAGGCAGCTGGCACCTTCTCGGCTTCTGAGCTGTGACAGGGCCTGCCAAGGGCTGAGGCTCAGGCAGGGAGAGGGCTGGGCTCCCGTGTGGAGGGAGGGCTTCCGGCCTTTGTGCTGCTACCCTCAGACCACGGTCCCTGGGACCCTCCCACCAGCTCCGGAGCAGTGTTTACCTCGCTCGGTTCAAAGATGACGGAGGGGGCGACGATCCCGTTGATTTTGGCCGCCCTGTGGATGATCACCTCTGCCTCTTTAAATCGTCCCTGAGAGATGAGCCATCGGGGGGACTCAGGGATGAACCTGAAGTGCAAGGAGCGATCTCACGGAGGCATTCCTGCCCAATAGAGCGGGTGCAGCCTCAGCAGAGGCGGGAAATGGGGGCTCAGAACCAGAACTAACTTTGGGGGGTAGATGGTGTTTCCCAGCCAGAACCAAAGCGATGGTCCCCACCACACCCACTACTCAAAGTGAGTAGTCACTACTCGAAGGGTGAGCTTCGGAATACGCTGGAGTGCAGAGATTTAGGAGGGGCCTGCCCAGCACTGTGGGAATCGGCCCCTGGCTGGCCACCTCCTCATTTCCAAAGAATGGTGGTGCCACTTGCTGGACACTACGGAGACCAGGCAAGAAGGCTCCTGAAACCTGGCTCCTGGCAGGGCTCCACCTGGCCCAGATTCTTGCCCGCCTGTATCCCTGCTTGTCCCTGGCATCCACAGAGTTTTCTGCATTGGACTCTTGGCCTCTAGTTTTTCCTCATTCCCACCAGATTCATCCAATTGACTTGTCAGACTCTCTGCCTACTCTTACAAGGCACCTGGGTGCTTTGGGGAATATGTGGAGCTTATTTTCTGCCTCACCAGTAGCCCCCGCCCTTTGGTCATGGCCAGGGTCCACGCTTGTGCTCTGAAGCGTTCCCCGCCACACGTGGGGCAGTGCCTTCACCACCCCACCTACAGGGGGCCACTCCCGCCTCAGCCCCTCTGCCACAGTCCCTCCCTGGTAAGGAATGGCGTCTTCTCTGCTGGTCCAACTCCTCTGTGCTGGAGGCTCGGGCGGAGCCTGGCTTCCCTGTGTAGCCACCCTGGGGACTCTCGCCCCCATTGCTCTTCCTCTTCTCCCAGTGCCCGTGTCAGGAGGCCCCGGTGGCAGCACACAGCCAGCAGCGGGGCTTCAGCTGCCTTGTCCTGCGGTCTGATAACTTCCTGGTGGCCACGGAGGACCCCATCGCCTGGCAGCTCCTGCTCCTTCCTCTCCCTGAACTCTGATCTCCCCGGCACAGGGCTGAACACAAGTCTGTTGATGTTTTGGGGTTTTGTTCTGTCTTTGGCGTTTCTGGGTGTGGAGAAAACATTCTGAAACAACTTATAAATAATTGACATTTCCTGTCAGAGAGCCCAGATAGGGGTTTGTGGGTTGCTGCTGCCCCCTAGTGCAAGCTGGAGAGAAGACGTCCTGTTGGTGGTCACCCCCGGGGCCCTGTGTCACACTCACCACCAGAGCAGTGCGCACAGCACCCCCGGCACGGTCAGCGCCAGCAGCAGCATCCGCCAGTCTCTGATGAAGTAAGCAAACAGTGGCAGCAGCATGTAGCCAAAGGCGTAAAATATGCACACTCCTAACGTAGAGAATATGATACGCACTGACTTGCTGAGAATTTCTGTGCCTGTTCGAAACAAGGAAGGTGTTGTGTGAGTATTTAATGTAGGCTGTTTCCTTATTAATCTCCTCTTATACAAAAACAAGAAAGCAGCCAGAATTATCTCTAAGTTTCAAAGCCCTTGTGAGGGACGGGATTCTGAACTCAGCCCAGGGTGACCGCCTGCCAGGGGTGCCGCATTGTGGCCTCTCAGTGACAGGTCGCTCCTGAAAATGCCATCACTTCCTGAAGCTGCATGCTCAAAATGCCACACCGGGCCTCAAAATTTAGTCCTCACATGAGGAAGAATTCACCAAAGGGGAGGTCGTTGCTAAGGCCGCCCATGCTAACTGTTATCCTCCAGGGAAAACACATTCTGTCAGGTGTGAAGAGAAAGAAATAATCCTTTCAAAGATAAAACCCAGGGAACCCAAAGGCCAATAAGCTAGAGTCAGAGTCCTGCAAACAGGGAGACGGGTTGTTCTTCCACGAGAACAGCTCGGAGCCCTGCAGCCTGAGGTCTGTGCTGAGGCCCACAGGCCCCATGTGCGAAGCCCATTCCTAGCAATCATTCTTGCCAGTGTTTGCAGAAGAGGCAGTTTTCTTTCTCGGCCCTTGCTCCTCACGCACACCTCCCTCTTCCTTGGCTACCTCAGCCCCGGGGGGTGGCAGGCCCTTTTCTCATGGAGGATCTTGGGTGAGTTCTCGTAAAATGGCCATCGAGTACCAGTGAGACGGAGGCGCCACGCCTCGGAGGCCAGGACAGAACTGGGATGCAGCGGTTCGGCTGCTGTGCTGCGGGGCCCACGGCTGGGTAATGGGTGGGCTCGGTTTCCCTGCCTACAAACTGGGTTCTCCCAGAAGCCCTGGTCAGTGTTGCTAGAGGCCACTCCCCCTTGGGGACAGCACAGCTGTCTCCTGGAAGTGGGTGGTGAGCTGCTGGTCAAACATAGGATCAAGTGCTCAGCTCCAACCTGAGGGCCATACCCAGGACAAACGCAGCCACATAGTTGGAGATCTGGCCCATGCCTACAATGAAAAACAGCACAGAAAACATCTCGAAGTTCTTGGAGAAGACCTGCAGGAAGCTGAAGCCCGTCTGCACAGCCATGGTCACGAACAGCACGTTCTTCCGACCGAACCTGGGAAGGAAAGGGGAGTGACAGAACCGGCTGAGAGGAGGTGGCAGGAACACACTCCACCAGGAGGGGCTCTTCCCAGGACCCTTCAGGGAGGGGCGGGACAGAGCTGCCACGGCCTCTGGTGCAGGGACAGCCCCAGTCGCCCGGTTCCTATGCTCTTATCCAACCCGCCCCTCCTCCTCAGGACCAACATGGAGCCTGGGCACCAGGGTGCCCCCAAAGGCAGTGCCACAATTATGTTCATGTTCGCAAAGGATTACAACACACTTATGCTGCTTAAAGCCATACATTTATAATGCATTAAAAGAGAAACAATTTATGATAAATGAAAACTGGTAAATAAAGGGGATGAAATATTTGTCCTGACTTTCCTGTGCCAACTATGTGAATAACCGATCATAGATGAGGGGAAGCATCATTTTATAAAAGTATTCCAACTGTTAAATGAAAAAGAAGTGATCAAACCAGAGCATCACATTTTACGGCCCCCGACAAGTGAACAGACGTGGGCACTGTGTTTCAGTGACTCTCACGCCCCCGCGAGACCACCGAGCACTGTGGGAGTCCTCCACTCTCACCCACGGGACTGAACCTGCATCTGATCTCGTCTCTAGATCTAGCTGCCAATTTGCAAGAAATACAGAGAGAAGAGGAATCTGCCGAACCACACCATGAGCGGGCAATCAGTCGAGTCCAGCTGGGGGAATTCTAGAGGCGGACCAGCCCAGTGTTCTTTAAAAACCAACTGGGAGGCAAAGGCAGGGATGGCAGGCGAGTCCCTAGACTGAAGGAGACTAAAACCCACAGAGAAGTGATTATGATAAAAGTCAGGCTGGTGGTTATGTGTTGGGTTAGGACACATGGACAGGGCTTCCCGGTGGCCAGCAAAGATCTATTTCTTAATTTGGTGAAAGTTACGAGGTTATTTCCCTAGAATAATTCATCAAGCCACACATTTGTTCTATGTGGTTTTCTGGATCTGTGTTCAATTTTAAAATTTTTAAAATGTTGGATTTTTTTGGTGGTTTTATTTTGTTTTGTTTTGTTTTGTTTTAACGACAGTGCCACAAATGGGGAAGAACAAGTCAGCCAAGTTCATTCAACCCACCAGATTCAGCTTGAATCTGGCCAGGGCAGCAACACCCATTTTCATTTGATGAATGTTTATTTGAACGTCTATTATACACTAGGCACTGGGGATATATCTGAGTTAGAGAAAAGATGCTGTTTCCGCCTTCAGGGAGCTTACAGTCTGTAGGTGGAGAGGCAGACAGCGATCACATTTCAACCAAATGGCTCCGTCACTCAATGCTCAAGTCCACCCGAAGGCATGGGGTGCCGAAGGGGCTGCCCCCAGGTCCATAGGGACACGACCAAGGAAGCTGCCCTGGGCGGACGGTAGAGACTAGGGGCGCGGGTGTTCAGGGAAGGCCTCCCTGATGACAGGACACTGAAATGAGGTCCAAAAACAGTCCCTGTTGATGAGGGGGAGCAGGGCACCAAACATTCAACAACGTTCACAGCACAGTGGGGAGCCCAGCATGAATTACGTCGCCATTTCTGATGGGCGCTCTGAAAGAAAGGTGCTAGGAACCAGGGTGATGTAAACCAGGGACCCTGGGTCAGCCTGCAGGGTCCAGGAAGGCCACCAGGTGGGGTGGGGGATGCATCAGACCGAGGGGAGCACAAAGCATGGCTGGGAGGGGCATGACAAACACGGTGGGGGGGGGGGGGCTAGCGTGGCTGAGGTCGGCTGGTCACCAGGAGACTGTAGGGGTGGGCAGGAGCCGCCCTGTAGGGCCTTGCAGCCAAGGCAAAGAGTTTGGTGTTTCTACTCAATGCAGTGGGGTTGTTTTAGTTTTGAGAGTTGATTTTTTTTTTTTTTAGCATTTACTAGGCAGAGACCAGAGATGTTCTAGACACCCTAAAATGCCCAGGATAGCCTCCTAGAGCCAAAAATTCTCTGGCTCAAAATGTCAGTGTCAAGGTGGGGAAGCCCTGGGCTAGATGGAGACTGTGTTCTCCCCTTCCCCCTGGCATTTTCCTGTTACAGGAGCACCCCACATGCCACCCAAGGGCAGTCCCTCGCTGCAGGCAGGGAGCTGTAACCTCTACCCCTTCCTTCCCCGCCCATAGACTCCCTGGGATGGCGGCAAAGAGAAAGACCAGGGAACGCTGACACAGGCCCAGCCCCTTGGCAGTCCAGGGCTGGGGCCAGAAACACTCAGGCTTAAAGTATGTCAGCAAACATCCAACTTACACATGCCCACAAAACCAGGAAATATTGGTCTACTTCTTCCCAGGGCTGTGCCTCTCATAATTCCTGCACATAAAGGTAACTCAATACCATATAAAAGGCTTTGACAACCCAGGGTTATTTTATTGCTCTTGAATTTTAGCCTTACTCATCTGTCAAAATGAAGGCAAAACCTTTGTCCTACATAAAAAGTTACTATTGGTATCCTAGACAATAGGTTAAGGTAATGAATCTATTGCTCTTAGGTAATTTGATCATCTTAGATTTTGGACTGGCTTCTTAGAGGTAATGAGAAGAGAAACTGTCCCCCCCACAGAGCCCGGGGCCCCCCGAGGGGGTGCAGACAACCTAGAGGGGTGGTGCTGGGAGCTGGAGGCAGGGGCTACAGCCAGAACTGCTGTACTCACAGCTCTTGCATTTACTGGGCTCAAAAGATCCTGTTGAAAAGCAGTCTGTTGACAAAATTTTTTTAGAGTTTTGAAAAACACTAAACTAGCACTTCTGAAGGCTAATGTAGTCCTTAACATACTCATTTTGTTTCCGTCTCCTTAGGAGATCTCTGGAACTTAAACACTTTCCTGAGGCCATCAGGGTCTTAGGCTAGCCCTCAAAGACCACCTGACCCATGACACAGCTGACCCAGAAAAATGCACTGAGATTCCCTTCTGACCCTGGGATGACTCCTCCTTGTTCTTCTCCAGAGTAACTCCTGAGTCTCAGCTGCCATGCAGCCCTGGGGAGGGGACTGCCCGCCATCCCACTCGGATGGACACCCCCTTCTCACTCTACATTCTCACCTGGCAATCTCATCCCCATGTGGGGCTGTGACGAGGGTTCTGTGAGCTGATAGTTTCCGAGTCTGCTTCTGCAGCCCAGACCTCTCACGGAGCACCAAATCCACACCTCCAACTGCATACTCATTCTTGAAGTCACCCCAAACTCAGTATGTTCACACTGACCTCACCCTCTTCTCCTACGAACTCAGTCCTCTTCAGAGTTTGTTGCTTAGAGAAGGGTGTTGTCATTGACCCGGATGTAGGGATCAGAACATTCCCTCTCCGCACCTCCCGCATCCAGCCCACAGCCACCACTTCGAGCTCCACCTGCAGTCTGCTCCAAGCCACCACCACTTCCTGCATCAAATATTGTGATAATCTCTTAATTAGTCTCTCCATAATCCTTCTTGCTTCCTCTGTCAATCCTCCACAAAGTTATCAAATAACCTGTCAAATATTGCAAATCTGATTATGTCATACTCCTGCTTTAAAAAACTCTCAGTGGCCCCCCAAGGCTCTAGGGCCGAAGCCCAAGCCCCTAACTCTCATCCGCTAAGCCCGCCTGCTCGTGTGCACGGGCCTCCACCTGCCTCGCCACTTCGCCTCTGGCCACTCTCCACGCTCCACAGAGGACGTTTCTGCAGTCCTGACGTGCGCTGTGCCTGTTTTTGAGTCTGGGCTTGAGTTCGTGAGGCATTCTGCGCCCGGGACGCTCTTTGCTCTCTCCACCCTGGTAGCTGGTGAACTTGCGCTTGTCTTTCAGCTCCTGGCACATGGTTCCTCTTCTCGGGGCAGCCTCTCCTGGCCTCCTCTGTCAGACCCTCTCTTAGCATCTGCACCTCGCTGTGTCACTTACTGCCACCGAGGATAACAAATGCTCCCCTCAATTAGCTGTTTAATGCATTCTACCTCGCTAGAAGGCAAGCTCTGGGAGAGTGAGGCCCTAGAACAAAACAGAGGACCAAGACTCTCTGGGCCCAAGTCCGGCTCTGCTCCTGCTGGCTCTGTGACAACTGGGCGAGTCACTGAGCTCCTCTGGGTCTCGTCTTCCCCGTTTATAAAATGAGAATACTAATATTTCTTCCTTCATGGGGTCACGAGGTTAAATTATTTAATTGGTACAGAGCTTCTCAGAGTGCCTGGCACATATTAGGTGCTACGTATGTGTTAATAAATATCAGTGATCGGCTGGTACGTGCTGCTAGATTAAGGATCTGGGGATGCACAGGCCTCTCCCAGGAAGGGGCAAGCATCTGCGGCTCGTTTAGACTCACCAATCAGGGGTCATGGCCTACTTAACGCAGTGCTTACTGGTGACGATAGGAATTTGTCCTTCCTTTTTAAAAAAACATTTTTTTTAAAGATTTTATTTTTATTTACTTTTAGACAGATAGAAAGAGAGGAAGAAAGAGAAGGAGAGAAACATCAATGTGTGGTTGCCCCTCGTGCAGCCCTCACTAGGGAGGGACCTTGCCTGCAACCCAGGCACGTGCCCTAACTGGGAATTGAACCAGTGACCCTTTGGTTCACAGGCCAGCACTTAATCCACTGAGCCACACCAGCCAGGGCTGTCCCTCCTTTTTTTAATTGCTGGGTGATACTCTGGGAAAAAAAAACAATCCAGGGGAGAAATGCATGTATTACTCATGAGGAAAGACTCTCAGGCAAGGACAATAAGCCATAGACAGAAATGTGCCAAAGCATCACTCTGAATCCGAGCTACAGGGTAAAATGGCTTTGTTCTCATGCAACACGACAATCTCATCCTGAACTTCTCTCTTAGAGACCCCAACCAGCCGGGATGAAGCTAGGTGACACAGGGTGGCCAAGGACCTTGCTGAAGGTCACTCTTCTCACCATGAGCTTCTCTGACAGACCCTGCAGCTCTGGGGTGGAGAGATAACAAGATGACAGACCCCTCTGAGAACGTCACAGAAACTCCACACCTCTCTTCAGAAAAATGCTCACATACAACCTCTAAAATTTTGCCTATAATTTCAAGAGCACATCAACTCCTTAAGTCATGAATGGACCATGAGCTAACAGCCTTGGAACTCTATAAATAACCTGCTTATGGATGAAAACGGCACATTTCCTGCTTGTTGTGAAGGAAGTGCCATAACCACAGGCCAAGCGAAGGCATCGGCCCTCTGGGCCCGAGTCCTGCCCGCCCTGCCACTGCCAACTACTGACGTCTCCTCTCACCTTGCAGATGGCAGTGGCTTTGGGAACACGGTGGCAGCCAGCGTGGTGCGCCTTAAGATCTACAATACAGTGTGTGCGCATGTGTGTGGTGTCCAGCTCTCCGACACTTGGGGACACGAAAGGGTCACGCTCACCTGGGGAGGGCCAGCCCAGTTGGCACAGAAGTGACCCACAGCCTATTTCCTGGCCAAACCCAGCTGATCAGCCTGGATACGCTCAGCTCGGGCTGTTGCATTCAGCAGGAATTCGGGAGAGGAGGTTGTTAGCTTTCTTTACTCGGTGTGGCATTTGGACTGTAGGCTGGGCTTCCCTTTCTTTTAACATACCAGGCCCCGGGCTGAAAGGACGCTACCACTTGAAGTTGGGCCCCAGGCGCATGCGTACCACCTGCTCAGTGCTGGGGTCCCCTGCCACTTCGGCAGATCGACACCCACCTTACCTGTCTGAGAGCTGCCCCGAAATGAAGGAGCCCACCAGCACGCCCCCGAAAAACAAGGAGACTGTGAGCGGGGCCTTCCAGTCGTCCTCACACACCAGGTTCCACTGTAAGAGAAGCAAAGGGAGTATTATTCACTTCTTTTAAAACTGTTGGAAATTTAAGCATTCTTGGAAAATGCAATCAGAACATCCCGTGTCCCTGTGCTCTGTTTACATGACCACGTGGGTGTGAGAGTTCGTTCAGGAGAGCCGTGGCCGATCTGGGCAGCCATTCAGGGTGCAGGCACCCCTCACAGAGAGACTGGGCTCCCTCCCCGTTGGGCCTTTCATGGCTGTTAGCCCCATTGTTTTGCTTCTACTCTGAGGAAGGGGGAGGCAGGGAGCAAGTGCTTTGCCTGTGTTCTAGTCCAGGAGAAGGCGAGGCCTCTCACGGTTACTCTGAGGGACCCGGATGGGCGTGAGGCTGTGGATGGGCAGGGTGCCCCTCCCATGGGGTCAGGTCATGACCAGGACCGCACGGGAGTGGTTTGGGAGCAGGGCTCTGGGGCTCCCAGGGTCAAGGCGTCCAGCAAGGAACCGAGGCCAGAGGCCTGAGATGCACACCTGCAGCTGTTCCTTCAGCTCTGCTCAGGCCCCCACTGCAGGCCTGTAACTCTGGGTCCTTCTGGTGATATTTAGAGCTGGGGTCCCTGATGCTGTGTTAACACCAGGCCTGCTGACAGCCAAGAGCTCTGAGCTGGGAGTTAAGAAACTGGGTTTGAGCCTCTATTGTACTGTTAACTGGTTACCCATCCCCAGACAAGAGTCCCCCCTCATTGCGCCTCAGTCTCCTCATTGGTAAAACAGGGGCTGGGGCAGTGAACAGGCTGCACAGCTGGAGGGCCCTAGCACCCAAGGCGCAGTTCCATCTACGGCTACCATACAAAGAGGTCTGTGGGCGTGGGGAAGCAGCTGGACAACTCAGATGTGAAGTCCCTCTGGCCGAACAAGGGGCCAAGAGGAGGAAAGGACAAAACAGGAAGCTTGGTGGTTCCCAGAAAAATGTTCAGAACAGAGGGATGGCGCTCAGCAGTAACTAAGGCCACCCACCAGGGAATTCAGACCCTTGCTTGCCTGGCGCCAGGCTGCTGGCCTGCCCTCCACGGAGTCTGCAGGCTCCGCACTAACACAGAGAAGCAGGGGAGTGTGTGGCTTCTAAGAACAAGGCATCTCTTCCAGGCTAAGTGCAGAAGGAAAACAAGTCTGCTTCTCTGCCCTGCTGGGTGGTGTGTGCGCACAGAGCCCCCAGGCACCTCAGAGGGGTGGGGGGCAGCCCTCAGGCTGCACATGAAGATCCTTGCAGCCGATGATAAGGATCGCCCGGCTGAGAACGGGGAGGAGGGTCCACCCCAGGGAAGAACAGAGGGTCTCCAATGCCTCCATCTAGGGGAAGTCCAAGACAGCAGGAGGCCAGAATCTCAGAGCACTAAGGTCTGAATGCTCAGCGATGGCAACCTTGCTCCCTCCGCAGCCTCAGCGGTGCCAGTGCCCAGACAGCCCCCTGGGACGTGGCTGCTAAAGCCAGGACAGGAGTGGTGGGGTGTCAGAGCTAAGGGACTCAGGGATGGGTGCTGGCCTCTGGTGTTGGGTAGGGTGGCGGGCAGGTCATGGCCACTGCTGCTCCTCCATGCGATGGGATCTATTTCCAGCTGGCACATACTACTTTTGTGGCAATAGACCTTTTTTTTTTAAGAAAAATGAATAAGGACTCAGTAGCCGTTTCTCAATAGCTCTCTTATGAGGGTTGGGAATAATATAGCTGGGCTAGACTAGAAATACTGCAGTGAGTTTGGGGGTGTAGTCCCCCCAACCCACGTCAGGTCTCCCGATACAGGCTTTTAGAGAAATCCGGGCTAGCGAGGAGACCAGGTCACCAGTGTTCACCTTGGGACAGGCTCCTCCAGCTCTCACCGCTTCAGCCCTGCCACTTGGTCTCCACCCACCACTGACAGTTCTTGATGGCTCTCAGAGCCTGGGTTTGGGTCCTCTGAAAGCAAACGTGGGCTAACACTTCCTACTGGCCACAGGGGAGGGGGGCTGTGTGTAGGGTCAGGAAAGGTAACAGATCTCAAAAAAGGAACACAGCGGCAGGCACAACCAGGTCCCACCTTGCCAGCCTATCCACTTACTTGTCAACCACCAGATGGACTGCAGTGGGCTCCAAGACTTGGCCAGAACCCTCCCCAGGAGGGGCAGGATGAGAACTCTCCTAGGCTATGTACCCTGGGCCTGTTGTGTTTACAAAGGAATCCAGCATCCTACACTGAGCTCCTGGCTCCCCAGTTGTCACTAAAGCAGCTCCAGCTCAGCTCACGATGCCTCCACCTGGTGCACGGGACGAGCTGTACTGGCTGATGATAACAGGCATCAATGTTAGAACTAAGTCTGTGGGTTTAAGATTCAGGTCACAAGTCTAGCATCGTGACCCCTCAGCTGGGTGGGCCATGAGGACCCCGCCTGAAAAAATCTGGGAGCGATTCCAAGAAGGGGCCTAGACTTGCTATCCTTCTTGGCAAGAAATGTGCCTTTCATGTCCGTGAAAGCTTTTCATACTGCACATTTTAGTTGTGTGCGGTTTATTTTATGTCACGTCTACCTCCACACAGTTGTTGAAATTTTTGAAGAGAGCGAGAGAGAAGTGTGTATCTTGCACATAGCATGCAATCAGTGCTGCTTCCTGGTTATGGGAAGTAGAGCAACGATGTTGTTTTCCAGAACGAAGTGTTCTTACCTGGGAGCTGGCTGGAAGGGAGAAGAGACAGGCCGTGCCACTGGGCAGAAGCTCTTCCCTGAGACGTTCCCAGCCTGAGCGCTTCAGCGGTCAGATACACTGGTCGGCACCACAGTTACTGGATGCCATCTACCCTGCCCACGGTCCGTTCTGCTCCCCACTGCCGTGAGTGGCCGATCCCTGCCCCAGGGCTGTCAGGGCAAGGGGATGAGGTATCTGCCACCACAACCCCCCCAATGCCTGGCAGAGCCCGGCTGAAGGGAGGCTCGGTAGGTGTTTGGTATGCAGTGAGCAGCCAAAAGAGCAGAGGGCTATGAATCTTCAATGCCACAGCACCCTTTGGGCTTGCCTGCCCAGAGCCAAGGTGAACCCTGAACTTCGATCTCTAGAGCAGATTTTCTTTGCTTCCTCAGCCCCCTCCCTGAGTCAGCTGTCAGAACTTTGACCCAGGATCAGGGTTCTCAGACATCCAGAAAAAGGATCAGTCTGACCCCGCAGACCAGATGGGCCTGTCGGGACAGCATGTGCCCAGCGAGGGGCTGCTCTGGCTTGCCACGATCTGCAAAGGGTCTGCACTCTCCTTGAGTTCGAGAAGTCGGCAAGGGCACAGCAGCGCTATACAAGCTGCAGGTCTGTTCCGACTTGCCCCGCCAGAGTCAGCCCAGCCCCCACCTCCCTGGCTGACGTGGTCTTTCCTTCAGGTGATGTGGGCTGCGGACAACAGTGGGGCAACAGTGGGGGCTCTCCTATCTCACAAGACTATGTATGACATAAGGCTGCCAGAAAAGCTAGTCCAGAGAAAGAGGCTTTCTGGGACAACAGAGGGTGAGTCAGAGTCCTGGCGAGGGCTGGGCAGGGGGATTCTGGGAAGTAGAGACAGGCAGGGGTTAAGGGGACAAAGAGGACTGCTAGGCCGTGGCTTGAAGAGACCCCAACTCATGGGTGCAAAGGAACTTTTCTTTTCTGCAGGCTGGGCTATGCAGACACCAAAAAGCAGGTGGGCCAGGTAGGCTGAGAAATCGCCCAGGTTCCCAGAGGAGGGGCAGCCCTGGGTCGAGAAGCACTCGGACTGGAGCAGCACCGTAAGGTGGGGTGGCTGATTTCCCCACCTCAGGGATGACGGAGAAGTCAGAAAAGGGGCCAGCCTAGAAGCATGGGGGGGCCCCCAACTGTTCCTGGAATGTGGAAGAACTACCTCTTTCATTTCCTAAATAGTGCCCCCTTCTTTCTGCCAGTCCCAGCGCCTTGTCACAGACCTGCACAGGGGCAAGCCCCAGTCCCCGGGATGGGAGATTAGGTTTCCTTTAAAATACTTCAGTCAATGCTTTCCAACCACCCTCAAGTTTCCCTTCTATAATTGAAACTGTCCTTTTCTTCTTCAGTTCTCAAACTTCAGACAAAATTTCTTAAATTATTCACTAATCCATTCAACAAAAATTTCCTGCGTACCCACCCTCTGTATCTAGTACCAGCCAGGACCTGCAGGAGATGCAAGGATGTAAATCTATCACCAGCTTTAGGATTTACATGTACACACTTTAATTTCAACAACGGCAGAAATCACACAGGGGACATGAGGTTTTGGTCTCCTGTTGAAAAATGTGACTAGGAATTCAATACCAGTGTCCTTATAACACTTCCACATTTGCTATGGGGCAGAGGGCAGGCCTGGGGACATTTAGCAGGCGTGGGACTAGCTGCAGTGGTCAGCATGCCAGGCCTGGGTTGAAAGAAAACGAGCCTTAGAAAAACGGAGTCAGAATGTTAATGCAAGGGCTTCTAACAGGGACTGTTTACCGAATGTCAAGTCAGCATCTCCAGACAAAGGGCTAAGTGAGGTATTAATCTGGCCTCCCGGTAAAGACTGACAACCTGTCAGTAGGTGAAAGGGCACACAGCTCTTACGAAACTGCTAAGACGGTGAAATAAATAGACTAAATATAAAAATGGACAAGCTGACATTGGTAGTAACACAGCTCAAGGACCCTCTGGCACAGCCAACTTTCGGAGGCTACTCATCAGCGCAGCCACCACCCTCAGCCAAGGGCAGGGCGAAGGCAGCGAAGCAAGAGCATATGACGACAGTAAGCCAAGGGATCCCAGGGGTGGGGGTAAAACCTAGAGATGCCATATGCTTCTTCTGACTTCCTCCTTCCATGAGCAGCCAGAAGCAGAATTTGCAGGGTCTCCCGTGTCATTCAGTATGGCTTCCCTCTGCAACCTCTGCCTGCCACCAGAGGGACAAGTCTCTGCTTTCACAGCTCTTATTGGCTTTCAAGACTTGCTTGAGTCTAGGACCAAGGATTTCTGATGACGGGAAATTGTATGTGGACTCTTGGGCCACAAAACACAGTCAGCTACCTCCATTCAGTGCTCTTTTGTCAACACCTCAGGACACTAGAATGATATTGCTACCTGTGAGATCCCAGTGGGGCTCCCCTTCAGCTCCCTCCCTCTGAACTCTGACCGCCGTCTCCATTGTTTCTTGCTGTTCCAGACTTTGCATCTGCTGAGCTGAACACTCCAGACTCATTGAGAGGCCTCCTCTTCCAGGAAGCCTTTCCTAATCTGCAAATCCCTGATCCTGACACTCAGTGAACCTGTACGCCCTGGTGCCTGTCAAGGAGGTTCCTTCACAGTCCTGCCTGCTTAGTTCTGCTGAGACCCCAGTGAGTTAATGCCAGTGTCTAAGTACGACGCAAAGCACATTCACACTCACCCATTAGCATCATGTCATATATCCAGCTCTAACGACTCTCAGCAGGGCACAAAGACACCCAAAACAAAAAATCCGAGGGGCTGGAGAATGAGAAATTCCCTCTCTCCCCACTTCCTATGAACTTAGGTTGTATGCTTTAGCTACAGCATTCTGGGTCAACAAGTCACCCTGAACAGATCTCCAGGTGCAGGGATCCTAACAGGCTGATAACCAACCACTAGCAAGAAGTAAACTCTTCCTTAGAGGACATGATCAGACTGTCATTTTGGGGTGAGGGTGGGTGGAGAAAGAGTAACTGGAAAAAGAAAAAAGAAACAGCTGTACATACACGCTTCCCTTAATTTTAAAAGTTCAGGAAAGAAAAGGTGAATTTCCTTTCTCTCTGACAGGTGCCAAGAAGCTAGAAGAAAAATGGCGACAGTCCCTTGGCCCTGGCCCTGGGCCTGCTCAACACTCTCATCCCAATTGGAGGAAGTCGCTGACCACCAGGGCCTTAGAGCACCTCGCAGGGGCCGCCAGGGCCTTCTTAGCTCCCTCTCCTGGATGGCCATCAGGGCAGATGGCCAGGTTGACACCCTGCTGTCAGAGGGCATCTCTGGCTGGAAGTCAACACGCAAAGCGTTCCGAGCCATCTGGAATGGAGGACACATAATCATCGCTAGCTAGTGTGTTGGGGGAACAGGAATGGCAACATCAGCACGCACCTTGCACGGGGTGGACTGCGTGACCTCAAAGACTGTGAAGGTCCTCTCCACACCCTGGCCTTCAGCCCCAGCGCGGGGCTGGTACCCACCTCGGTCACGATGGTGGACAGGTAGACATCCTGGCTGAACTCCCAGCCATCCAGGCAGCTCTCCTGCTCCAGCTGCTCCAAGTCCACATCGCGCACCGGCTCCAGCCCCAGCGCCGAGAAGTTGGCGATCGCCGCGAGTCGGTAGCGCCGGCAGCTGTGAGGCACCAGACGGCCGTCCAGCAGCCGCAGCGGGATACTGTGGTTGCGCCAGGAGCTGCTCAGGTTCGCGCTGTCCGGCACCCGGCAGCGGTGCTCCGGGGTCCCCGCCAGGAACACGGAAGACAGGCCGTTGAAGCCGTTGGGGATGATGCTGGCGCTGAGGAGAAAGAAGATGAGGCGCTGGAAGGGCCCCCACTCGCCCAGGAAGGCGGTCACCTCGTCGTAGTCCTGCATGCCACCCGCAGCTGCCTGCGGCGCCCGGCGCGGAGCTGGGGGACTCGGCGGCGCGCCGACGCGGGGCAAGGAGGGCGTGTGCGCGTGCGCGCCGGGCCTCTACCGCGCGACCGAGCGAGGGACCGACCGTGTCCGCTGAACTAGCAGGATCGCGAGCTCCCGCCGCAGTAGCGGCCGGGCCGCAGCCTCCGGTCTTACACAGAGGGCGAGGCAGAGGAGGGCTCTGGGCCCGGCGGCAAGGCCCACCCCCGCACCCCGCAGAGCGGCGCCGAAGCGGGCGGAGCTGGGGCTGCACGTGACGGCAGGTGGGCGGGCCCGGCGTCCGCGAGCACCTGGGGCTCAGTCCGGAGGTTCCATCCGGAAGAGCCCCGGCTCGGTCTCAGAGGGCAGCGTGGATCCTCGTCTCCGTGATCGAGCCAAATTCGCTGCTCCAGCGCGGAGCCGGGGGGAAGGGACGCGTTGGCCAGCGGGCAGCGAGGCTCAATTACAGTATTAAAAATAACGCCTCCATCTCACAATTTTTTGCCGAGGCCAACACGGGTACTGGAACAGGCCCAGGGTCTCACTGTGTTTAGGGCCGGTCACCGCCCATCCATGCAAGTGCCCTTTCCTTGTTTTGCTCTGGAACAAGCAAACCCTTCTGTTGTCCTTTAACGTGTAAGAACAAATGTAAATTTTTAACTTCAAGATTATCGATGATCCCAGACCAGGATTAACTATTCCCAGATTAGTTGTTTCTTCACAGGCCTTAACTCAGGACTTCACCTGCAATAAAACAATAATAATAAAAAAAACAGTGAGGTGATTCTAAAGCTTCGCTCTGCAATAGAGTAATTCGCTCTGCTACATTTGTAATTCCACCATAGCAACAATGGAGACAAGTTATCCTCCCTGGAAACAGGGTCTTCCTCAGGAAATGGGAAAGGTGGAGCCGCTCTGCCAAAACCATAAAATGATAGTTGGTCTCTGAGCATGAAGACAAAGCAGCACAGGTGACCAAGAAAAAAAAAGAAGTAACGACACAGGATTCCAACACATGAGTTGCTGTATGATCCTGAAAAAGAACAGAGATCAGGCCTGGGTTGACGCATGGAGAAGAGGCTTACCCTGGGTTTGGAATAGGGAGCCCGCACCAATAGCAGCAGCCTGTTCCAAACAGATGCTGCCTTGAATTGCACTGCCTCGGTGACCACACTGGGTCTTAATAGTCAAAGGCATGCAGCGTACAAAACTCAACACAGAGCAGTGTTTGTGATAAACTTGTTCCGTCACCCAAGAGGAGGTTCTAAAACACAAAACCCCATAGAAGAGAAGAAAGAGCGAGGCCATAAGAAGATGAGGTTTAACCTCGAAGATGCTGCCAGAGCAGGCAGAAACAGAAGCAGGGGAAGACCCGTCACCCGGTGACTGCACCGAATGTGGCACTGACATAGCAGGCTGCAACAAGGATGACGTCTTTCTCTTGCTCAGCATCTTAGCAAGCCATCGCTAAATAGCTGAGTTGGCATTTAATTGCCCAATACTGTATATAAGGCAAATAGGGACAGTTATTTTCCTCCTGCCCATTCACTTCAAATGACATTCCGAGGGGTTAGTTGAGGAAGCAATGTTTTATTGTTTTTGAAAGACAGTAGTTACCAACTTTCATCCCTCCCTCTTTTTAAAGAAAAGTTTCCCCAGCTCTGTTGGGACTGATGATTCATTCCCTTTTTTTCTTTAATTAGTATAAAAATCTTTTATTTTTGTCCCACTTACCTGCCATGAATTCACAGGGTGGCGGGGGGTGGGGGGTGGGGGGGCGGCTCCAGCAGCTCAGGCTCCTTTCCATTCATTCATTCTGACACAGTGCGCTTCTCTGGGTGCAGCAGACTGACGCTTCAGCTGGACCCCGGTACCTTTCTCTTGGGCTTCCTTCTTCTTCTCATCCGTTTCTTTCACACATTGCAGGAAGCCGTCTCGCCTCTTAGAGTGCTTAGTATGCTCAATATGTACATTAAGTCTCTTGGCAAGACTCTTGCCCTTAACTTGTTTGTTTACAATAGTGCCCACCACATGCAGGTGACACTGCAGACCCCTCCAGTTTCGCCATGGCAACGCCTGTGGAGCAGTCCTTTCTGAACGGTGCCCTTTCCTTCATGCCCACAATGTCACCTTGCTTGTAGATTCACATGTATGTGGCCAAAGGGACAACTCCATGTTTCAAAGAGGCCTAGAGCACACACGGCAGGTGCCTCCCCTCTTTGCCTTTGCCTTAGTCAGTTTGGTGGATTACTGGAAGGCCGTGGTTCCAGCTGAAAAAAAAAAAGCTTTTCATTCCCTTTTTTATGAACTTGGCAAAACTTCAGGTTTTTTATTAATTAAAGCTCTTCAGAATTAAAAAAAGTCAAAAGAAATGGGTGAAATGAATTTTAATAATATGTGTATTTAACTCAATATATCCATAACATTATCATTTTATCATGTAATCAATATAAAAATGGAGATATTTTACATTTCTATATTTAAAAAAATAATTGCTATATATTTAAATTATATGTGTGTGAATATATAATATATAATATATATAAAATCTTAAGAAGCCAGTGTGTCTTAAGAAAGCACATTTCAGTTTGGATTAGCCACACTCCCAGTGCTCAGTAGCCATGCGTAGCCAGAGGCTGTCTTATTGGGCAGCACTGTTCTAAGGCCTTTAAGAATGAAGGCTGCTAAATTTAACGTTGCAGCCTATTCCTTTTAATAGTAATAGGAGCTTAGTGATAGAAAGAGAACTAATGGTACATTTTAAAATGTAATCTGTTGGATAAGCACTTCAGTGGTGATTACTACGTTCTAAATTGAAACTAGAAAAAGAATGGGAAGCTAGCTTTGCCGGCATGTTTTACACAAGGAAATATAACATTCCCACAAAGCCCAGGAAAATTTTAAGACTTAGGATAAAAATGTTAACACAGGCACTGGTCATTTCACACACGCTCACTGTTCAGTATTCCTGCTTCCCGAAGATGGTGTGCTGTGCCTTCAGAAATGTACTCAATTCTTTCTAACATTTTATCTCAAGGAACAGTCCTTTTCTAGAACTAACTGAAAAAGAAAAACCAAGCTTCTTAAACATAAACCCGTTCCTTATATCAGCTCTCCAAATTGTTTTAATATTTCAAAATAAATGAAAGCTTCTAGGAGAAGACTGCTGAGCTGGGTAGAGACCGAGGAAGAAAGTGAAGAAATGTAGTGAATCTGCTAAATTACTGAAATCAAGCAGGTTGAGGCATGAGGCAATGATTCTATTCTTGTTCTGCCAGCTGGGGGACTTAAAGGTTTTGAGCTTTCTAGTCCTGAATCAATGCCTGGATATACCTCTGGACATTGGACAGACCTCCAGATAACCCTCTGAAGCACTCCCGACCAGATAGACCATCGACATCCGCTATCCCGACCCCCTGACATCTGACTGATACCATCCTGGGCCAATCCAGGATCAACCAGTAATTCTTAATAATGTACTTTTTACTACAGGAACTTTTAACTTTTCTTTCTTCTTTGGAGCACTTCTGGGTTTTTTTGCCTAGCCGTGTTACCATTTCCAAACCCTAGGACTTTTGAATATACGTCATTTATTTTTAGCCAAAGCTTCCAGATTCTTTTCAAGTTCCTTTGACAAAACCAAACAAGTTGAAAAAAAAACCCTTTTATTTTAAGAAATATCAGTTGGGTGTCAGAAAACACTCCTGAAAGGGTTTGAAAATAATTCAACAGTCTTCCAAAAAACAAGCAGATCTTAAGGAAAAGAAACGAAAACTGTCATTCATGGCTTGTCCCCTTGCACAAAACAGGGCACCCTGGGAGGGGGCCTTCCAGTTCTTGGTGGGGCAGTAATTACTACATATCTGAATGGTATTGTTATTTAAATCACATCTTGTAAAAGAGAGATTGAACTCTGAATCTGAGAGAATCGGGTTACCTGAGGCCCTTTAACCTTCAAGATTCTAAATTAGGATGCTCTTATTTTACATGTAAGAGAAAATAAAACATAAATATGGCAGAGAGCAGATCCAGGGTTAGAACCCTGGAATAAATGGAGTAGAACTCCGCAGATGGGGTAGCCAGTCTTGAAGGTAGCACCCAATGATCCTGGTGTTCACACCATGTTGTAGGTTCTTCCCATTTGTACCTGGGTTGGTGACCATTGGCATATAGCAGAAGGGATGTTTGGTCACTTTAGTGATTATATTTTAAAAGATCTCCATCTTGAATGCCCCCTCCCCGCCCCACACACTTTTCTCTTTGTTTCTTTGGGAGAAGCGAGCTGCTGTGTTGTAAGAGGCCTAGGTAGTGGCAAGAAATGAAGAATCCTGCCAACAGCCAGTGCAGAACTGAGCTGACCGTCAAGTAGGCGAGACTATCAGTGGCCACTTCAGCATCAGCTGAGTCACTAGATGACCACGGCCCCAGCCAGCAGCTTGACTGCGACCCCGTGAGAGCCCCTGAGCCAGAACCGCCAGCTAAGGGGCTCCCCACTTCCGAACCTCAGGAGTTTTGAGGCATAATAAACGTTTGTTGTCCTGCGCTACTAAATTTGGGGCTTTTTATGCAGCAATAAATCACTAATATACAGATGGTTAGACAATATGTTGAATTAATAGTGATTATAATTAGTTTTATTTTGATTATTGAGCCCAAAGGAGCACTGTGTGAACTCAGTGTTCTCCATAGATTTGGATGTGCCCATAGGTTATGTGGGCTGCAGCCGTCAGCACCTACTTGCCCGAGGAAGAGAAAACTTCTGCAGAGGAAGAACTCCCACTCTGGGAGAAGGGCAGAGGGTCCAGACTAAGTCCAATACTATAGCTTCTGCATCACAGTGGAGGATGATGCCGAGGGTCTGGTCTGCCCAGTCCCTGCTGTTGATCTCACAGATTTTACAGAAAGGGAGCCTTGAGTACAATCTGAAATAGCTATTTTTGCTAGGATCTCTGTGAGACACTGTTTGTCTTGGCCCTGGAACATTGGGGAGTGGCCTGAGCATGGAGGAAATGGAGTCTATCCGCACCTCATCTGACGACATTTCTAGTGGTATGTCATCACCCACGCCCAGTAGCACTCGGGGCACAGAGCACGGCTGCAGCTAAGCTCGGCACGGCAGGGCTTCCCTCACTGGGTGTGCAGCCCTTTCGTGTTCCTTCCCACACGACTGCTGCAGTCATATCTCAAAAAAAAAAAATGGACAGAAAGGTCTGTATTCATGAGCCCAACTGTGGTTTTAGGTTTGACTTGGAGGGAGATTGGGGTTGCACAGACACAAGGGCCAGAGAAATTGAGTTTGTACTGTTCTGTGATCCCACATTTGAGCGCCAGTCTGTCTGGTCCTGGATGCATGAAGAGAGTGGACCTTGACACTTTGCAGACTAGAAAAGGTAGGTAATCAAATACTCTGAACAATTTTTTAAGGACTTAGATGTGCAGGCTTGTACTTTGAATAGGTGTAATATCCAATGTGAAGACCCACAGTTTGGCTTCAAGAGATACAGGAGAGTTTTAAAATTCCATATAAATAAT